AAAGTTCGAACCTGCCGTTTGTCGTTCTCGGAAACATGAAGCTTAAACTCCCTAATGCGAGCGCGCCTGAGGCGCCCACCTCTTGTCGACCCCATTAACGAGTCCGACAACCAATTGCAACAGCATACATTTACTAGAAGATGTTCAACCATGTCGGCACTTGCCCACATGGCATACAATCGAATGCTGGCCAAATGGGTATTCACGCACTTTTTTAGATTTTTCTGGACCATAAGGCAAGAGGTTCTGGCTATAAGTGATGAGTAATGGGAAGACAGTTTTTGAAAATTTTTATATCATCTGCAAAGCCCTGCCCATTTGATGCTGATCCAGGGGCTCTGTTATATCACCAACGCTTAGCTCAGTTGGTTAGAGAGCGCTGCACAACCTCGTACCCAGGACTAGTCGCGAATTGAAGGTGTCGCCGCCTTCAATTCGCGACTAGCCCTGGGTACGAGGTTGAGCGCTGCACCGGTCATCGGAATCGCAGGGCCGTAGGTTCAATTCCTACCAGAGGACCTTGTGCTGCATTTTTCGCAGTCGTTCCTGGTCATCTCTTAAAATGTATATATACTCACTTGGATTACAAACCCTAATAACGATTTCAATTAGCCTTTCTCACGATCGATGACGAATATCCGCCATTTTGGGGTGGCATCTAATTTCTCGTTAACCAAATAATGCAGACAATTAAAACAATGTGAAAAGCAATTTTTCAAAATAAACTAACCATTTACAAAGCAAATTTACCATCATTCGTCCAAAAAATTATAAAAAGTCGCTGTTATGTGGACTTATCTCGCAGACTTCAGCTGCCAAAAGCCACTCAAAAATGGCAGCGTGAGAAAGGCTAATAGACTTATGCATAATGACGTCACAAGGCTTGATGCCCACGAGGAATGCTGGTCTTAGTAGTCATCGCCCTGGAAAATTAAACAATTCAAAATGGCCCCTATCGAAATTTTCCCGGGCGATGACTACTAAGACCAGCATTCCTCGCGGGCATCAAGACTTGTGACGTCATTATGCATAAGGTCTATTGCATAAGGTCTTTTTGCGGCCAAATAACTCGATTTTGGCTTTTTTATTTCTTGTTTGCAATAGGCCTTGAAAAAAATGTTTGGCCTTTTGGCTCTATTTTGACTTTTTTATCAAGTGACAGGAATTTTCACTACTTTTTAGTATAATTTATTATGTAAGAATTGTGTACCGTTGACACAGCAACCTAATTTTATTGACACTCAATCAGATCTCAGGAAATTCAGCCAATTGTAACTATGTCTTCGCAGAGGTCCGTCCCGTAGTATTTTGCATAGAAATGACAAAATTTGCTTTAAAAATAATTTGGGACTTTTGGGTTGTTAGTAATACGTTTTCACAATTCATTATTCACTTGTGAAAACTGTGTAACACGCGTATTTTTTGTTGTTTACCAGTTAAACACCGAACCGTTTCATGTTCTGGAGACATTTAATTAAAAAAATAATTTAAAATATGTCAGTGCAAGCTTGCAGCCAAAACTATTTTGTATAATTTGAATATTTTTCATCTATCAATATACTGCACTTCTCTAACTCTAGACGGATAACCTCACCAACGGAAGTCGAAAATATTGATAAGATTTGGCTCTTTTTTTGCTTTTTTTCAAAAAAATAAAATTAGGCCTATAAATTTAGTAGCCGTTTAGCCTTTCAACCCGGTTGCAAATTTGTAATGACCCACCATGCATAGTCTATCAAGATATATATGATGGTCTGGAAACTGAACAGAAGTCATTGTATTATGTTTTTGTCTGACTGTTTATGTTAATTTGTGCACGGATCACGGTCACAGTGATTGAGCTCATTGTATAAACGTGCAACCACTGCAACCGCGATGTATAATATTCAAAGGCACAGTTCAGCCTTTTGAATGATGGTTTTTAAGGCGCATTTCAGCCCTTTTAATTGAAAAAACTAACTAGGAAAATCAATTAAGCATAATTCAAAACCAGCAAACTTAATGTTTTTAACATTTTAAAACATTTTTATTGTTAAAAACATTGAGTTTACTTATCTTGAATTATGCATAATTGATTTTCCTAGTTAGTTTTTTTCAATTAAAAGGGCTGAAATGCGCCTTAAAAACCATCATTCAAAAGGCTGAACTGTGCCTTTAATGAAGTTGAGACAAAGGATTTCTGCACGGTAAGGTGCAGCTCAACATCAAATAAAGGTCTTCTATTTCGTGGCTTTGAAGTTTGCTTCCAGACAGGGATGCCGGAAGTTGCTGAGGGCAAGGGGTGCGATTTGTTATCAAAAGGGCATATTTTTTAAAAAAGGGCAGAAACAAAAATGAAAGGGCACTTAGGGAAGCCTCACATATCGATTTTGTCCATGAGAAACGTCATATGTTCGTTTCTCTGGAGACCCCCCCCCCCCAACCTTTATAGAAACGTCACACATAGTTATCGATATTTTGTTCTTATAGTACACATAAGGTAATTTTCTACTATTATTTTTCGGTCGGCTATTGGAGATGCTTCCGCGAGAGTATGTCTCAGGGCCTTTTTTAACATACAAGCTGGGGGGGCAAATGCCCCCCCAGTCCCCCCTTTTGCCCCCCACGAAATCACATTTTGCCCCCCCAGGAAAAGTCCCTTTTTCCTAAAATTATACAAACAATCCAACGAAGATTAACAAATAGATAAACGGAAAGTAAGTTTTAGGCTTTATCCTTTGTTCTTGTTTAACAAAATCGATTTAAATTGTTACTTTTTTACCACTAAGTAAGGGACCGGTCATTATTTATGGTGGGGGGTGGCACCGAAGAGAAATGTTTTTCGTTGCAAAAATTTTGCTTACCCAACCATTAAAAAATCAAAAATTGGATTACCCAACCTCAAGTATCATTTAAAAAATAAATACCCACCCCTGGCCAAAAACGTTACAAAAGGATGTCATTCAGTTGTCACACATGACAGTCTCCCTCGCAGACGTTCTTACTAGTCCTTTACCACTTCTGTGATACGTTTGATAACGTTCGGCTTGTGAATGTTTGATAGTTTGATAACGTTCTGCTTGTGAAATTTACTGACTTTTCTGCAGTCTAAAGCTTCATGTTGTCTGCACATTTAGTTTCTTTGGAGACACCATTTGTCTCCCAACAAATCGGAAAATGATGAAGATATAGATTGATTCACATATTGTATTGACATATGACTGTTGACTTTGAAGTTTTCAGTCTTCAATATTTAAGTGAGTCATGCTTTGGAATTGACAATATATTTTTATTACCCAACCTAGTTGAGTTGTTTCGTTTTTGATTTACCCAACCTTTTACTCACTCAAAATTTTGTTTACCCAACCCTTTTCTCTTCGGTACCACCCCCCGCCATAAATAATGACCGGTCCCTAATGATAAATTATTGTTAATAATTTTTTTATTTTTTGGATGCTAACAATGCAGGAAATAGCATTTCACGGTTTCAAATTTCAAAATTTTCTTGGGATTATCCCTCTAATAAGTAATGATAAATTACACTTAATATTCTTTTTTACTTTTTGTGCATTTTTCCATCTTTTATTTCAAATACAACTATAGTTAGCATAAATTTTAGAGCAAATTTGGATGCTCAGAATGCAGGAAATGGCATTTCCGTGCTTCAAATTTCAAAAATTTTCTGGGGGAGTACACCTCCACACACCTGACCATTGCTATCCTCCTCTAATAAGTAATGATAAATGATGGTTAATTTTTTTTTACTTTTTGTGCGTTTCTTCCTTTATTTATTTCAAATACAAGTATAGTTAGGATAAATTTTGGAGCAAATTTGGATGCTCAGAATGCAGGAAATGACATTTCCAGGAGTCAAATTTCAAAAATTTTTCAAAAAAGTCAAAAAACCACCCCCCATTCAAGCGTGCCCCCCTTAAAAAAGGCCCTGAGTATGTCATCTTCTGCTGACATACCCTTTTTTTATTAATATATATATATATATATATATATATATATATATATATATATATATATATATATATATATATATATATATATATATATATATATATATATATATATATATATGAACTTCAAAATTTCCAACGTTTCTCAAAACAACTTTTTTTTGCATGAAATATTGATAATTTTAGCGCGTTTTGCTTGAAATTTGAGTGTTTTCAATACAAGGAAGGCGTAATAATATCAATGTATAAGTATAGAACAGGTATGGTATTACGAATATATAGACTGCTGTTTGTATCAAATTGTTTTCTTTTTTATATTCTGCAAAGATAAAAACTATCGAATTTTTCCATGATGTTTACAGAGAAACGTCACAGCTGCCCCCCCCCCCACCCCCAAACGAACATATGACGTTTCTCGTGGAAAAAATCGATATGTGAGGCTTCCCTTATTTACTTATAACCGTATTTGAATCAAACACAAGCAATGAAGCAACCTTTTACTAGTATTAATTTCAAACATTAAAAACAAGGCACACAGAATTAGCAGAAAACTGTTTCGCTTTCTCTTCTACTGAAAAAAGTTTTGTGTGGCCATTTACTAGCTATAGGTTATGAAACTAAATCGTTCACTGTTTATAACATATATAAACTCCTCCAATGTAACCTGTTCGTTTGAAATCTTTTGTGCACCCGTACGTTGCACCCATAGTCCGCACCCGCACTGCGGGCACTTGCACCCGTGGTTCCGGCATCCTTGCTTCCAGATCAGGATTCATCATATCTTGACAGAGACTATGGACCCAACCCTGGCCTCCCTGCGTATTTTTCATATACGCATGATATACGGAAAAGTACCATGGTTCAGTCCGTGAGTTGGCGTTAAAAGAATAATTATCCCCTGCAAAGGATCAACCGAATGATAATAAATGACCATAAACTTCAGTTTCCTATTCTGTGCAGCGATTGCAACCACATAACCAATGAAACTGCAGGAATACTATCACGTGATACATTCAACACGTGAAGTGGTTTTCGAAAATAACAAAGAATTTTGGCATGAATGTCGTCGAAATGGATGGGAAGCAAGCTTTTAAAGCTGATATTTGTGGCAAATCGAAAACGAAACGAACGTCCATTAATAGTTTATTCCCAGAGATTTTAACCATTATATTCTGCTACTTAGATTTGCGTGATAAAGGACGTGTAGCTCAAGTATGTCGAAGATGGCGTGATGCAGCCTATGCCAAGTGTGTATGGCGATCAACTCAAGCAAGACTACATTTTCGACGATCAACTCACTATTTATTTCCCTCATTAGCTGCTCGAGGAATTCGTAAAATACGGGTACTCAGTTTAAAAAACGATCTCAGTTACTTGGTACATAATATGAATAATATGGAGTGTTTGAACTTGAAAGGATGTTACAACGTTACTGATAGCAGTATCACCAAAGCCTTTGTGAAGACTATGTCGACTTTGACAGTTCTCAATCTAAGCCTTTGTAAACAAGTGACCGATACTAGTGTGGATCGGATTTCTCGTTTTCTATGTAATCTTGAGGTACTAGATCTAGGTGGTTGTTGTAATATTACAAATGGTGCTTTGCTTTATTGTGCTAAAGGACTTGTTCATCTGAAAAATCTCAACCTACGTAGTTGTCGTCACATTTCCGATCTTGGCATAGCCCACATTGCTGGTCTCACTGCTGCAACTGAAGGGAATAGGAACCTTACCCATCTTTGTCTTCAAGACTGCCAGAAAGTTACCGACAATGCGCTGTGTAATATCGCTAAAGGTTTACTCAACTTGGAAGAATTAAATCTGAGTTTCTGTTGTGGTGTACGAGATGTTGGTCTCGCGCATTTGGCTGGCTTAAAACATTTGAAAGAAATAAATCTGAGATCGTGTGATAATATCGGAGATGAAGGGATTTCAAATCTAGCAGATGGTTGTTCAAGTTTAACAAGTTTGGATGTAAGTTTTTGTGACAGGATCGCAGACGAAGCATTAAAACACATCTCACACAGTCTGTATAATCTGAAACATCTAGAACTAGGCTCGTGTAGAATTACAGACGAAGGATTATATGCTGTTGCCAGAAACTTACAAGACATTCGAGTTTTAAATATTGGACAGTGTAACATGATTACAGACAAAGGACTCTCGTACATAGCAGAAAATCTGCGAAATGTAACAAGTATTGACTTATATGGTTGTACGAAAGTCACAAAAATTGGTTTGAATCAAATTGTCCAGATGCCAGAACTCCGCATATTAAATCTTGGCCTTTGGCAAAGGTAATACAAGAACACTATTGTTTGTGTGTATTTCACCAAAACAGCATGAAACCACAGTTAATAGAAACTGTGATGAAACACAACGCCTTGCCAACTAAATATGAAATTCAATATGCTCCTTATAGGAGGAAGACTATATTTTGAACTAAAATCTGAATTTTTTAAGATAACATTTAAATATGTACATAACAGAATCTATAATTTTAACAGAATGCATTGAAGACTTTCATGATGCATTAATGGTCTTGTAAATATATAAAATGGACAATTTGCCACAAACAGTGGCGTAGGCAGCCCGACGATTCAGTCCCGCTATGCAAATATTGCCATGTTTGTAAACTATCAACACAATCAATTTCTAAAGAAATGAATAATGATAGCGGGACAAAATTGTCGGGCTGGCTATGCCACTGGCCACAAAGTACCACATTTTAATAAAAGTGAAAATATTTTATTTGGCAGTCTCACATACATTTTGCAACTGCTGTACTGTATAACACAAATGCAATTTTGTTGGGCCGATTTCAGGTTTTGCCGAATGTTAATAGTAGATCTAAATTCAGCTCAATACTATTAGCTGCAGACTACCATAGTGTCACAAAATAGGAACCTTACAGAAGGTCAACCACTTGGTTCTGCATATGATTTTGGGCATAGTTATGTTTTGGTGTAACCTTTGCAATTCTGTAACCATGATTGTTCCTAGCCAGTGTGCTTACGAGAGGCATTCACCCCCTGAAAATATTAAAAATGGCAGACATTCAGGGGGGGTGAATGCCTTTCATAAGCATGGATGGATTTACTGGGGGGTGTGCACCCCCCTAGCCATGGCCAGGGGGGTGCTATTTTTCATGATAAAGCAAAAAATTATTAGAGACAAAATGAGATTCAGTAATTTGAGTAATAACATGATGATAAGCGAACTGTGAACAACAATTACAATTCAAATACTGTAGTCAAGCAAGACTTTGCAGTAGAGGAACAAGTTGATAGATGGGTAAAGTCACTGGAAACCAATTACAACGTACTCGTCCGGAAAATTTTTTTGCCTAAAAAGTTGTTGACGGGTGGGGGGTGGGGAGAGAGGTCATTGCTCTCAAAAAAAAAAAATTTTCCGGAAAAATTTTTTAAATAGGGGTCCCTAAAAAAATTTGCACCTCCCCTACCAGATCATGCTGGATCCATCCCTGCAGTCATAAGCACACTTGCTAAGAACATGGCAAGTGTATTTTGATAACGAATCATTGTGAATTATGGCGTGGCAGCGGCTTTTTTGCTGGGTCATCCTATTCTGTGATGATGTGTTGAGATGGCAATCTCATACCCTGAGAGTGCAATCCTCTGTGGCAGTTTGGTGAGCATCTGGGAATCAATATAACCTTGTACCCAGGGTGCTTGAGGCTTTCAGAAGCCACAAACACAGAAGCCTTGAGTACGAAGTTGATGAAAAATACTTGATATTTTATCTCAATTTGTATAACACAAATACTCAAAATTTACACTCACAATTTTTTTTTTAATTAATTTATGAAACAGTAGTGACAAGTTTAAAGGCCAAGCTGCTGTTAGTTCAATTTTTCAACTTCCCATTTTTATAATTGGTTTCAAAAATTATGGTAACAACTCTTGATTACATCATATTTTTATTAAATTTTATTCACATTTCTTCTAAGTAAACTATCAGTATGTAACGTTTCAGAGTCAAACTTTGTTATACAGGGTGTATCAAAAAAAGTAAGACAATTTTGAAATTGCTCTCAATTCCACAATTCTGTTCATGAAATGTAATTTTTGCTATATATCGACTGCTTAAGTTCTTAAATTATGGAAAATATAAAAAATTTTGAAAATAGTAAATTTTGCTACCAGGGGCGTGGTCAACTTTTGCTAAAAAAGTGGCTTGCGCACGGAAATGACAAACGGTATTCTTTATTTGAGTTCATGTATGAAAAGTTCGTTATTTGTTGCATTTATGATAAAATTTCGGCAGGATTTTACTGAGTACAAATCCTCCGAAGAGCCTATGAAAACGTTACATTTTTCTCTGTTGGTGCTGTTCTTGCTTCATTATGAATTCATTTTTACTCCCATGAGAGTTCCATGGAATTTCCATGGAATTTGTGCTTTCGAGTTGTTTGTGCTGAAACGCATTTTCTCGTATAATACCCCGTACACTTTGAAATGGCAATGCCACAATTTACCCCGCAGCAGAGAGCTTTTATGGTATCAGAGTTCCTCCGTAACAACAACGTAAACTTGGTTCGCCAAAGTTTCACGAAAGAATATCCAGATGTACGATGCCCTTCACGTTTATGTTGTTGCTACGGAGGAACTCTGATACCATGCGTAAAAGCTCTCTGCTGCGGGGTAAATTGTGGCATCGCCATTTCAAAGTGTACGGGGTATTATACGAGAGAATGCGTTTCAGCACAAACAACTCGAAAGCACAAATTCCATGGAAATTCCACGGAACTCTCATGGGAGTAAAAATGAATTCATAATGAAGCAAGAACAGCACCAACAGAGAAAAATGTAACGTTTTCATAGGCTTTTCAGAGGATTTGTACTCGGTAAAATCCTGCCGAAATTTTATCATAAATGCAACAAATAACGAACTTTTCCTACATGAACTCAAATAAAGAATACCGTTTGTCATTTCCGTGCGCAAGCCACTTTTAGGAGAGCAAAAGTTGACCACACCCCTGGATAGCAAAATTTACTATTTTCAATTTTTTTTATATTTTCCATAATTTAAGAACTCAAGCAATCCATACATATAAAAAATTACATTTCATGAACAGAATTGTGGAATTGAGAGCAATTTCAAAATTTTCTTACTTTTTTTTATACACCCTGTATATTAAGAAGCCAAGTGGATTTGGGTAAAAATCTCTACAAAGACCCTAAAAAATCCAAAAAATCCCAGTTTCTTCTCAAAAGATCCCAAGGTGTCCCGTTTTCTGAAAAGAAGAATGGAGATGACTCAGCATTTTTTAAATAATTTGAAATAAATAAAGTGTTCCCATGCATCCACAAATATCTGGATTGATCAATATTTGCAAGATAAAGACCTAATCTTTTTATTTTAACACAATAAGGAATCAGACCACTAAATGAAAACGTATTAGATGTACCAATTCACGACTATTGCTCGGACTCTGCTAAAAGTCTTTTTCCTATGATTAAAGGATCCCAAGTCCAAGGCCTTATTTCTGAAAACATTAATTCCCAAAAAATCCCAATCACTTAAAAAATCCCCAGATCTTGGGATAAAATTCCTGTGAATGTGGCCTGGGGCCGGCTGTACGAAGACTAGTCTCCTTCGCAGACGTTAGTTATTGCTCCGACCCTCGCTAACGAACGTCTTCTGAACCAGGGTCTTTTTTAACATAGTTAGCAAATGCCCCCCAGTCCCTCCTTGTGCCCCCCCCCCACGAAATCACATTTTGCCCCCCTCCCAGAAAAAGTCAATTTTTCCTAAATTTATACAAACATACCAGCGAAGAATAACAAATAGATAAACGGAAAGTAAGTTTTAGGCTTTATCTTTTGTTTTCTGTGCGTTTTTTCCTTCTTTTATTTCAATTACAATTTACAAGTATAGTTAGCGTAAATTTTAGAGCAAATTGGATGCTGACTCTTCCACAGTCCCTCATTTGTACGCGCGGTCGCGTAATTTGAGCAGCGCTGATTTGAGGCACCGCGCTCCCATTGTTTTTCCACCGATCTCTATTCCCAACTGAAGCGACGAGGGACGAGGCAGAATTGGATGCTCAGAATGCAGGAAATGGCATTTCCGGGCTTCAAATTTCAAAAGAGTATGCCCCCACACACGTGGCCTTCGGTCATTGCTTTCCCCCTTTAATAAGTAATGATAAAATATGGTTAATATTTTTATAAACCTTTTGTTCGTTTTTTCCCTTCTTTTATTTCAAATACAAGTATTGTTAGCATAAATTTTAGAGCAAATTTGGACGCTCGGAATGCAGGAAATTGCATTTCCGGGCATCAAATTTCAAAAATTTTCTGGGGGAGTATGCCTCGCCGGAGTATGCCACACACATGGCCTTCACAGAAAGGTCCCTTTTCAAGAAATGCTTCCCCCAACGGGAAAATCCTTAAAAAAGGCCCTGTGCTGAACTGAACTGAGTTCCATTCACATCGAATCGACCAATCACAACGAACCTTCTGAATTTCGGGAAGTCAAAGTTACCAACTAAATGGACGAACTAATAAAAGGTTTCTGACTGGCTTTTTCCCTTCGAATCACTGCAATATGATTGGCGCCTGAGCATGAAACGAAGGGAATGGGATGTGCATCTCGGTTCAGCAGACGTTCGTTAGCGAGAGTCGGAGCAATATACGAGGTTTTAAACTGAGAACGTCTGCACTATGCGAAGACCGGATATACTAATATAGTAATTTTTCAACCTTTCTAAACATGACTGAAAAGCTATGAAACGTACTACGGATATTGGACCTCACAAAGAAACTTTAATTTATAAATACTGAAGTTTATTCTGGGTTATTCAATGACAACGGACAATTTTAGCAAATTAAAAAAATCACTATCCGGTGATAGCTATCCGGCTTTCGTATAATCTATGGAAATACTACTTACTGAAACCTATAATCTATATATAGGGTTATAAGCTAATCGGCTTTCGATCGAACAACCGGCCCCTGCGGTATGATAAGGCTTACCGAAACCCAGTAATATACAAATGTGGGATCATTATTTGCATAAAAAAGACGAAACAAGAATCGTTGGGAGAAATCCGAGGTCTGCTTCAAAAGTATGCTCCACAGCTTTTGAAGCAGGGCCTTTTTTAACATACAAGCTGGGGGGGGGGGGGGCAAATGCCCCCCAGTCCCCCCTTGTGCCCCCCCCCCC